TAAATAATCGTTGTATTGACATAATTATTTGTCACGGCCGCGACAAATGTCGCGAACGTGACACTGGGACCTCTAGAATGGACAGAGAATGTTGTCCCAGTGTCGCGGACACGAAATACGTCGCGGACGCGACAAGAATGTGTGATGAATGGGTTGTTCTAATCTCTTCTTTTCTTCTCTTAGGATGACTGGTGGTCATGGAAAGATTGGCAAGCTATACAGCATTGGCAAATATTTGCAGAGCAATGATCCTGATTTTTTTCATGAACTAATGCAAATAGGAGGACTCTTTCATATGCTAGGATTGCCCGATGTTCATATTTTGGGGCCTTTTATAAGTGTAATTTATGAGTTTTTCACTGCCAAAACTTCCATGTTTACCATTAACGGGCACGTGATGTGTATAACACTCGAAGATGTGCTATACCTTCTACGTTTGCCCATTAATGTGAGCTTGTCCTCGTGGGAGAGAATTCCCATTTAAGTTACAAAAAATTTTTCGGGGAGGACTCAAAAAAGGTCAAAATATCCCACTTGAACCGTATTGTCTACAATTCTACTGAGAATAAGGAAAAGAGGATGAGAGCTCTGTTGCTCATCATTATTTGGCATTTTGTCATGCCAACTAAAAATGGTGATGGCATCTACCCTAGCCTTGCCTCACTCTTAGAAAACCCCTACAACACTTCTTCAATTCATGCTTGGGGGGCTGCTGTTCTTGCTTTCCTTCATGGTAGAAAAAAGAAAAATAAGGAGGGTGGCAACTTATGGCTAGTCTTGGTAAGTAGTAGTATTATTTTGCATTGTTACCATTATATACAACTTCTCAACTATTATTTTGTGTGTGCAGGCTTTTTTTCTCGTCCGGATTCCAAAATTATGGACGATCCTAGGGGTTGAGATTACAAGGGAGGAGCTCGAGGAGCTTGCTCGAGTGGATTATCCATTGAAATGGATAATGACTCGTTTGGAGAAAGTATCAAAGAATACAAGGGTCAATTACAAGGGGGCTCTGAGGAATGCTCTTGAAAGCCTTGAGGATGAGGTATTGAAGTTAATTTACAGTCTTTTCTATCAATAAATTGAAGTTATTATATTATAGTATATGTTTAGAATTAATTTAATTTATGTCTTTTTTGACAGGATAATCATTGGAGGCCATACATGACGTGGGAATTACCCGGTGACCTCCAGTCCAATATCGATTGGGTTAGACGGGTCAGTCCCATTTTTGCCAACAACTATGTGGTGCATCATGCACCACATTTGCTTGCAAAACAATTTGGTTTGGCAAACAACGTCAAATATACACTGTATCACATCAGAATGAAGGATAATCGGGGATCAAAATCCCACAATTGGACTAAAAAATATGAAGTTCATATCGCGAAGTGGATGAACCCATTATTTTTGGGAGATCCACCAGCAGTCCACAGAGGTAAAAGCACGATTATAGTCTTTGAGCCCTCATTTATTTTTATTTTTTTTATAAAATAGTCCATATTATTATTTTAATTATTATTTTAATTGAACTCAGAGACCACCCCCATAGAAGATTCCCTCCCTCATATCCAAGATGATACAGGTTGTGAGTGGCAATTTTTTAAATAGTCTAATTATTATTATTATTATTATTATTATTATTATTATTATTATTATTATTATTATTATTATTATTATTATTATTATTATTATTATTATTTGACTTATTTTTGTCATTTTGATTTCAGAGACCTCCCCCAGTAGAGAAGATATCCAGCACTCCCCCGGCAGCGAAGATCCTCCCTCCTCCAGCAGAGAAGATCCCTCCAGCAGAATATCAAAAGTTGCGGGTAATCAGAAGCTGCAGATTTTGAGGGCCTTTGAGCCCTTGTTTTTTTTTTTTTTTAACTTTCCGAATCATATACCATTAATGGTTTATTTTGAATCATATACCATTAATGGTTTATTTTTTAACTCAAGTATTCTTTTTGCTAAAAGATCCTCATGCTGCCCATCAAGAAGCTGGTCTTGACCCTCCAGAATCATTTGAGCCAATAACAGGTATTTCTTTTTAAAAAAACTCGACTGTAAATCTACTTGTATTATTTTATAGAAAATTCTGACCGAGAAATACAAGACTGAGATAGAAAAGTGGACAAGATTACTCTTTCTGTTGGAAGGTCCCGAGCCTCTTGAATCAATAATGGGTATATATAAACATGTTATTCTTTCATTGCTGGAAATACTACACGGTTTTCATTTCATACTTGAATTATTTTATAAAAATTTCTGACAAGTATTCTTTTTGCTAGAAGGTCTCCGTACCCCCTTGCAGCCCGATCTCCCCTCATCCTCCTTGCAGCCCCTCCCAGTAGTTCCATCTCAAGACGCTTCAGGTAGTGAATCAGCTCCTTTTCTACAATTGTTCACAAAAATACTTGAATTATTTTATAAAAAATTCTGACAACTTTCTGACTTGTAGAACATTGATGCCCTGCCCTACTATTATTTTGATTCAGGGAAAGAACTTTCCTTCCAATATACCCCATCCCCCTTGCAGCCCTGCCCAGAAACAGAATCAACAGAACTTCACCTGGCCGTTAGAAGAGAGAGGCGTATCTGTGGGCCCCCCATCAGGCTCACATATAGTAGAAAATGCAAAAGGGGAAGACAAGGTAACATTCATTAGTTCAATTAGGTAACTAACAGAAAATTTTTAGTCTTCTATTATTATTATTATTATATATTATTAATATGTTGTGGAAGCAGGACAACCAAACAAAAAACTCCTCATTTTGGATTTGAATGGAGTTCTTTTGGCACCCGGTGGCTCGAATCGTCCACCTTACAAATTTCGACCACACTGCTTTCAGTTTTTAGAATTCTGCCTTTCAAAATTTTCTGTGGCCATTTGGTCATCGAAAATGAGGTATCCTTCAACTCATATATAAATTATTAATATTCATCAATTGTGGATCGTTTTTTATGTTTTACGTTTAATTGTTTTCTAGCAAAAATGTGGATCCAGTATTGAAAGAAATGTCCAAGAAAATGGGAAAGCAGTTACCTGAAGAACTGAAGTTCGTTTGGGTGAGTCTTTAGAATTTGTAAGGTCAGTGTCCTAGTAGAATTTTTGTAATTTTAGTATAATGTCGCGTTGAATGTTGTGTTGTATGGTCAAGATAAATGCGAAATGACAAGTTCCTTCCTTAAGGATAATCCACAAAAACCAGTCATGTTTAAGAAATTGGAGAAGGTTTGGCGAGAATTTGAATCGTATGACACCACGAACACAGTCTTAGTCGATGACTCGCCTTACAAATCAATTCTTAACCCAGTAAGTGTAGCAACTCGAACTTCTTTATGTGATAGAATTCCTGTATTCTCGTGTAGATGCTATATAATATTTCCCTTTTTTGAATTGTGTAGCCCCACAATGCCATATTCCCCAAAACCTACGATGGATCAGTTCATGACAATTATTTGGGTGAGAAGCATTTTTCTTGACTTTGTAATTCATCATTCTCAACTAAACTGATAAACAATTATTTGCAGATCTTAAAGGGGAATTTGTAAACTATTTGACAAAATTAGCTGATGCCGATGATGCTCAAAGCTATATCAGACAAAATCATATTGGCTATGAAAACATAAAACAGGGCAGCGAGGAGTGGAACTACTACACTGCTATCGCTTTCGTTTAGGTGCAAATGAGCTACATTGATGATGTGTTCTACAATGGTGGTGACATTTTTTGGTATTCGTGAATGGTATTTTTTGGTGTGTATTTTAGTGCTATTGTCAGGAATATATGCACTAAACCATATATTTTTTATATAACCTTATGACTGATCTGTTGTTTGGTTCCAATACTGCAACCTCCTGAGGTAATTATCCATCCTTAGTTGTTGTTGTTGTTGGATTTATCAGCATAGATTTGTCTTTGATATTGCTGTTGACTTGTTAAAAGGAGTTAAATATTGTTGATTCTACACTTATTAATCTGAGAAATGACTGAATACACAACATCTATTCTTTCTTTTTAGGGCCTTAACAAATCACTCATCGAGAACAGTGCCATTACGCTCGGAAGACTTGCATGGGTTTGTCTAGAGCTCGTCTCCCCGCACATGGAGCATTTCATGCAGTCTTGCTTTGCCCATGTAGGTTTTTCGTTATTTACTCGTAATGCACAATAACATGAGAGTTGCATCCTTATTTAACTTATCCTTTCATCCAACTCGAGACAGGATACGTGATGACATAGAAAATGAAGATGCTTTCAAAGGTTTATGTGCAATTGTAAGTACTTCACTTTTCCTCCTTATCTGCTATTCAGGCCAATTACCAACTTTATGTCAACATGTAATAGCATGTCACCTTATGGTTGCAGGTTAGAGCAAATCCATCTGGAGCTTTAAATTTTCTTGTTTTCATGTGCAAGGCTATTGCAAGTTGGCATGTAAGTGATAATTAATGAAACACTTTTCCGAGTTTCTTTTGTTCACACGACACGCCAGCTTATCTTACACATCATATTGTGTTTCCCATGACAGGAAATAAGGAGTGAGGACCTTCACAATGAAGTCTGCCAGGGCTTGCATAGTGTATAAAATTTATTTAAAAAAGAAACGTATATCGAAATGTGCACTAAATCACGTTTTATATTAATGTAATTATGTTAATCACGTTTAAATATGATGTACACCATATATGGTCTAGTGTGTAAATGTGTACTAAATCATATATTTTCTTAATTTCTTATTCTGACAAGCATTTGGGATGTTATGA